CCCCCAACTCGAATTTGTGTGACCTTGATGTTCCCCCCCCCTCTGTGAAGCCTGAAGTCAACTAAAGGGCTAATGATTACCACCAAAACGCCTGCCAATTGATATAAATAAATGCATATATAATTAAGGACATGCAAAGAAAAATGTGTGTTTAAAGCAGGAATATTCCAATCAAATAGAGCAAAATGCAAACACCGATCCATTATTTACTTATATATGCTTCAATTCCCCTCTATTTTACTTCTAACAGATGCTGCATTTCAATTTTAAGCTGAATTAATTGAATAAAAAAAGCAAATCGCTGTCAAAAGTAAGTTAGAATAATCTGCTTCCAGGGAAAAATTACCAGAGACTGTTTTCCAATTCAATAACGGCAACATTTTTCAAGAGATCATGCGCAGAAATGTAGATTTCTATTCCACCGGGACTGAGAATTTCCCTCTGAAGCTTCAGACTGTCGGCATAAAACGGGTCCACCATTTTGTCTGAAAGGTAGAGAAGAGCCGATCAATGCTAGTTGTTTGTCAAATGGATGATTAATTATTTCAGTAATTTGGATATCGATCAGTTGGGTTCTCATCTTCCCAGTGAATCATAGGAATATTTTGAGTAGTAAAGGTGTCTTTGTTTGTCTCATCTCCCTACTCATGACTATGAGGTTTGAATAATGTGTACACAAAGTCACATTGAAACTCAGGGAATAAAATGTTAACATTGGAGTTCAAGAACATTCGAAAATATCAATTTCTCAAATAGGCCACAACTCTTGACATTCGGACCCAATTATGTGCTCTTGTCTTACCCATAACACAGGGTGGCCAAGGTTAAGGTAGAATATAATTTGTGACCCCTCTCAAGCGCTCAATTTCAGTTTCAGAATGGTAAATGACATGAGGCCTCCTTTATCTTGGCTACACAGTATGTAATACATCAGGGGACAGCTTTGCCATTTCTCAAGTTCAGCTCGATAGTAAGCAAAACTTTAGTTGCGACAATTTTACGGATAAAACCTCTTCCATTTTTCATAGTGAACCGCCAGTTGACCTACCCGCTACAACATTCTCTTGCTTAGCTACAGTTGAAGCAATTTGTCCTCTCATGGGTTGTTTATGTATAATGACCTCATCTCCGCAGGCATAATCTCTCTAGTCAGCCTTGTTTGTTATTATTACACTAGTTGAAAATTAACCCCCAACCCCAACCCCCCCCCCTCCCAATAACTGCATGTTTAATCAATTCCGAATGGTTGCGCGCTTTAGGCAACTTCGCATTTCGCTTTTAGAGCTTGTTCGTCTCTAATTGCAGACTTAGTGGTTTCAGACTGTAACAGTTCCGTGACTTACAACTATGCCAACGGGCTACATCTTATAGACATGGCTTCATTTTCACCAGTCATAAACAAACTGGCTCCGATTGAAGAACTGCGCGAAGTCCTATTGTTCCAATAAACTAATTAAATACTGGCCTAATAGGCGGTTAGAGGCATAAGCTTTATTGTTATCGATAAAGCCCCATTGTTAAAATAATTAGCCTTTAAGAGTTGTGTGCCAATTGAAATAACTTGCTGAAAGATGCTAATTAAATCATTAACAGTCACATTATCGCGAATTAAGAGAAGTTGGGAGAAAAAACTATTAAAACAACATTTAATTCATTTATCTTTTTTTTCCTATTTGCTCCATTACAACATTCAATTACACCTTGTTTATAGAACTTTTAGAAAAGAAGTTCAACCGAAAACTTGATATCTAAAATATCTGCAAGTATAATCAAAGTCGCGGAAGTGCCCATAATAATCAATTTTTTAAAAATCTAATTTAGTTATAATAAATGCATACAATGAAGCAACACCAAGGTACTTGCCTCGTTCGTTCCCACCCCCATTTCGGACATAGCGAATGTCAAAGGAAGGCTAAACCGCCAGTAAACTGTTTACCTTACAGTTTCTCGTGTACACTGAACTATTCACAGATTCACGGCGCGCAGGATAGTAAAGCAAGGCAAATGAGTTCATGAGAAAATGTTGAATAGTAAGAAGCCGCAGCACTGAGGAAAAAGTTGTTGTCCACATTGAGTTAGATACAAGTAACCCGAAGTTAATAAAATTTTGACATCATGAATGCAATTCATCCACAAATCTACAGGTCTGTGATATGTACACACGCTGACTCAGTTGGTAATCAACCTTGCTCTAAGCTGTTCCCACAGCTCGAATATATTAGCCCATTTATCTTGCCTCATTTCGTATGTTCCTCACAATTGAGATCGTGGGAACGGCTAATCTTCTCATTACCCTTCCCACCTCCTTCCGATCGCCCATTAACTTCTAGTCTTCTGACTTGGGAAAGTGTACCGTTACCTATCAACCTCCGGAACGCCATTACTTACAGCCTAACTTGACCTGACCGCTAAGGTGGGTTTTACTTGGGATTAAGAAGTTGGAAATTTAGCTCACCAGCATACTACCAAGCAAAAAAATTCCTTAAGAGAAAGTGAACTTAAAATTTATGTAAAGTGATATTGAATATGTGTTATCCCATTAGCTAAACCAACCCAATCTCCTACAATCACTTATTTTCCAAGTTTTCAAGTACTGTCCCAAAATGAAATCATAAAAATAAGCTCAACTTTTTGGGGTCTATTAATGACTTGAAACTATGGACTAAGATATCCATGAACCCACTAGAAGAAATAACACACAAAGGCAAAAAAACCAAGAGACAAAGACAATCGACAGTTTGTTCAACCAGTCATGAAAAACATTCATAGAAGGTAAATCCCATATAAAGTCAAGTGGCAATTATGTATGAGTATTAGTACAATCGATGGGATCATTTCAAGTCCTTTAAGCCATGCCTCAATACAAGAATGGCTTAACAACATACAAAGTTTTGACCCTAAAGTCCACAATAAGTAAAGCGACGTGTAGAGTAGGAGGACGAAAGTGTTTAACCACTAAGAAGCAACTGAAAATGACACCAAATATTTCTCTAATTTGATTAAAGACGAGAAAAAACCCCGAAACTCACAAACGAAACGGTCCTAAGTTCACTCACAATCGTTTACATAAGCCAACTTTTATATATAAAAAATAAATTTTTGCTGATCACCTTGGGTGGGAGAGGATTTTGAGGCGTTGCCACCACGAGATTCAATAACAAGGGGTTCGTGAAGTACATCGAAAGGTGGTGGATCTGGGTTTGGTGGAAGACAGAGGGACGAGGAAGCTGATGGAGGTAAAGAGTAAACATTATTGTCAATATCCTCATCCTCAATTTCACTTTTGTCCTTTGAGGCTAAAGTGGTGTGATATTGACCGAAGTCGTGGCTGTCAGAAAGATCAACGGAATCCTAAAATAAATATAAGACATAAGGTAACAAATGCAAAATAAAAACAAAGCCTTATACATGAGATATAGTCATACCTCACATTCTTCATTAAGAAATGGCGCATAGTTTTTTGTATTCCACGGTAAATTGAATTGAACTTTACTGAGCATAGCTATAACATGGTATGATTCAGATTACTGATATCTTATACAACAGAATCATCGTATATGAAAAAAGCATGATTTGAAGTTAAATAAATGATCAATTAAAGGCAGAGCAAGGGGATATATAAATGAGTATCTAATTAATATTCATTTTAAAATTAGTTCGCAATATAGGAAAAGCAAAAAATACTCAATTTGACAACTAATAAATGACAATTGCTAAAATTTTTCGAAACAGTATAATATAGATATTTTGAAATAAGAATACTCAGATGAAATCCGTACCGAGGCTCAATGATTATCTCCGAGAGCAGCGCTAAATCTTAAATAGCCTTCACATTGTGCATATAAAGTGTTGAGCTTAGCTTATATGATAAACAATAAATTTGTTATTGATCCCAAGTAAAGAATCAATAACTTAAAAGGAGGAAGAATGGTAATGGTTATGGTTCATTATATTTAGCTATTAAATTCGATCCGTCATTACCGTGTTTTGCCATTATAAATAACCTATAGAAGCCCATTCTTTAAAATAAAGCTTTTAGTCTTAATAATGATATGCTTTAGCTAAAATGATTTATTCCTTTAAATTATCCATTCGGACAAATTAAAATACATTGTTTGTTGCATCAAGCAACATATATGAAATATTTCGCGTCCTGCAGACTATGAGAAGATTTAAAGACGAAAAGCGTAAAAAACCAAGATCTGAATGAATTTTCGCTGGGAAACTAATGTTATTATTGTTATTACATGAATTTAAGAAGCAAGAATTATTGCGTAGCATGAAACAAAACAAGATTCTTGGATATAGGTCAGTCTGATTGTTGAATCATTTATTATTATGAAATAACACTTATTTTTTGATGAATTAAGATTTATTAAGATGGAAAAACACAAATATAAAGTATTTTGAAATTAACGACTTGAAGAATTAACCACGCTTAGTAAAATGCATCGTAACACAACTGCACAAGTCTAAATTTGATAGATGGAAGGCGGTTTATTGATACAATGCAGAAAAGAATAATAAAAGCAGTTCAACAATAGAGTAAAGTTATTCTTGAGGTAAAAATAAATGAATAAAAAGTCAAGGTGGATACATTTGCGATACACTTTTGACACATGGTCTTTCTCCTAGTTAATGAGAACTCAACTCATTAAATTAACTCAAACTTGAATTAAAACTAAATTATTCACAATATTAATTTCTGTCCTTTAACATTTTAATGATAATATTTTTCATAATGCAAAATTTGATTAAAAGAATTTGGCTTTATATGAATAAAGATCCACCGCATAATTCGTTGACTGTATACTAGGTCGAATTTGATGACCTTGTGACATCATCCATTAAAATGAAGTCGCTATCCAGATTCTCCTACATTCTTTTGCTTTGTATATTTTTTGTGCAATGTAATGAATTATTTTTAATAAAAACTGCTAGGTTTGAAGAGCTAAGGTAATTACAATGTTTCATTAATTCTCTTAGAAACAAATCCAAAGAAATGTTTTTCCATGCCTACACTAATTACATGGTAAGTTATATTTGCTCATGATATTTCTTAGAATTATGCGTATCCTGCTGATGAGCTTATGCCGCTTTCTTGCAAAGGACGGTATCGTGGTGTAGAACCTCCCAGAGGGACAGTCGATGAGGCTTTGGGAAATTTTTCTTTATCCTTAATAGACAGTCTAGATACACTTTTTGTAAGCTATATCTCCTGATTTTGGATAATTTCTTTAGGTTATGAGTGAATTTGATGAATTTGAGAAGGCCGTTAGGCTTGTTATTCGGGACGTTTCTTTTGATCAGAATCATGATGTGTCTGTTTTCGAAACTAACATTCGAGTTGTAGGGTTGGTGCTATATATTATTTTCTTATATCAAATTTCTTACTGTGTAGAGGGTTACTAGGTGGACACGTCGCTGCTTTGGCTCTGAGGTCAAATAATTCAAATCGTATGCAGTGGTATAATGACGAGCTTCTGGACATGGCTGTAGAGTTAGCAAATCGTCTTCTTCCAGCTTTTAATACTTCTACTGGTCTTCCGTTTCCTCACATCAACCTGCATACGCGAAAACCAGAACCGATTGTAAGTGATTTATACTTTGTCATTCGCCTTTTCAATCTCGCTTTCTAATTTTATCCGCATCAGTCATAGCTTTCCTGGGCTGTTAAGTGATGTTACATTAAATTTTATTATTGTTTTTCCTGGGTTAATTGCATGAACAATATTTTTTTGCTAATTAAACCATCACTTTAATTGCTTTTACGTGTTGCTGCCACGTAGATTGAACATTTCTTTCTGGTAATACGACTGCTTCCTATACAAGTACTCAAATTTTTAAATAGGCTTTTTGGACTATTCTGTCTGACTTTTACAGTTCTTGGTACTAATCGTTTTCTCTGTGAAGATTTGTCCACTGATTTAGTCTTGGTAGCAATTTCTCCATGCCCAGTTTTTCATTAGCTTCTCTCCTTGCCCTGATGCCTTGGGCGTTTCTTCAAACAGCACTCCCTGCTGTGAATAATAATGAATATCACCCCGCAAATGACATTTTCAATTTCTGCTATCTTGAAATTTCTATGAGTTTCAATATATTGTGAATATTTATTTATTTATATCAAATGGTAGGCGTTTTGATGGTTATCATTAACCCTTTAGTTGACTTCAGGCTTCACAGAGGGGAGGAGGAACATCAAAGTGAACAAAAGTCGAGAGGAGGGGAACTGAAGAGTGTTTCAGAGACGAAGGTTGAAAATTTAGAAGAAAAAATGTGATGAAGTACTGTGGAAGTGGTCGAATATGTCATACAGGGGGGCCTTGGTAGTTTGAAGTCAACTGCCTGTTAATGGACTTTTTTGCCGTATGAGTATACGTTGCCCAGGGTGCACCACGTGGAGGTAAGTCTATCGCACACCCCATATTATGAATATTAGGATAGATAAAATTATTTTGACTAAAGTGATTATTTGTAAAGATGCCAGTTAAATCGAATATTTACTGATTCTTTTTCTATAGAATTAAATGATCTTTTCATCTACTTATGGGCACATTGGTCAATTTCCATGATAAATTCCACTTCTGGGGTCTGTTGAATATTTTCACTTTTCTGTGGTAATATTTGTTTTATTTTTCTTCTTTTCTACTCTGTCTTTAAAATGAACTTGCGTTGTGTAAAAGGTTGGTTTTGCGCCTATTATTTAATTAGAAAAGTAATTTTTAACCAAAGAATGGAATATCGTTCATAGTGGCGAATTTTTGACCACAAATGAAAAGGAAATGAATGTGTTTTCTACTTTCTCTGTATAATGAAAGTGATCCAGTATTTCCCGACTTTGTTCATTAATATATCAAATCAAAGAAATCCATTAAGTTTTGACGCTAAAAAATCGTTTTAAATGATTTTGTCAGTAATTTTCAATGAATTTTCGGAAGTTTCTCTGTAAAATTTTATTTGACAAATCCTTATATGGTGTATATCTCTATCAAAATTTTGAAATTTTTGCAACAAGTAGTTTACTTGGGTAACCCATGTCACCATTGCGCTTTCTTACCTTTCTATTAGCTAAGCTGCTATCAGCTACAAGCTGTCTAGAATAATTTATTCAATTTGCCATTTTTTTTAATTTTTAATTTAGATTCACACATGCACAGCCTGCGCGGGAACACTCATTTTAGAATTTGCTGCCCTCAGCCGGTTTTCTGGTGACCCAATCTACGAGAAACTTGCCGACACAGCTCTCTCCTACATATGGCGTCAGCGTAATCGCTTCTCCAATCTTGTCGGAACTGTGATCAATATTTTCAGTGGTGAATGGATTAAAAAAGGTATTTCTTGAACTTATTGATTTAAGTACTATTGTCATCCTTCTATAATTGTATCCTTTTTTTGCACGCAGAATCGGGAGTGGGAGCTGGAATTGACTCGTACTATGAAAGCCTTCTCAAGGCCTATGAATTGTTGGGTGATCCGCAGTATTTGCATCGATTCAAAACTCACTACACGGCTGTGGAAAGGTACTTGGGTTCACCGAGCACTAAGACATTCCCCTTTTCATTCCTCTCGGTGTTCATGCATAAACCGTCTGAACGGTCTCGCATGTTCATGGACTCACTGCAAGCCTTTTGGCCTGGCTTGCAAGTAAGTTCAGCAAATGATGAATAAATTCTCAAAAACAGCCATTAAATTTATCGTAGACACTCCCCCCAACCTCTCCCAATCCACTTCAATCTCTCATGCCTGCCGAAAAATATACGTATTACAGCGTTCTTCTGACCTCTCTCTCTCCCTCTCTCTCGAGTTCTGGCATTATTTTTTTGTTGACCCTCACTGTAAACTTGCAAGTCAGCAGTAGGAATTGTAAACCATTTTTTGCAGCAACAAATGCCTTTCGACACTAATGCTGGAACTGAACTGGCTAAAACGAAACTTCCTATTCATCTTCACCGTTATCGTTTTCAGGCGATTTGTAAAATTTAATTGATTCTCATAGTTGTTTTTTATTGTTTTTTTAAGATTTTTCCCTAATCCGTTTGCCTGGGGGGGTAGTTTCTCTATTTCTCTTTATTCTATTTTACTATTATCAATCACTAATAAAACTAACAATTTGTAATTACAGAAAAGCTCTTAAACACAGAAAATGGCCTAAGTAGAGATGAAGGAAAGGAGATTGGATTAAAGCTGAGGGTAAATTTAAGGAGTCAAATATCTTCATTCCAATTGTTAGATTTTGTTGCTCGCTATTTTTCTTCCAATTTCATAATTTTTTTTTCTAAATTAACGATCACATTCCTATCCTTATGAAGGAGCTGATTTCACTACTCAATTTTGGGGCGAATTAATTTTTTAGAAGCTAGATTTTTTTCTATTGTTGGTCCTGGTTGTCCTTATCCGAGAATGAAGCCTCCTGATTGCCTAATTACTAATTGAACAGCTGAATGACTCCTTGCATGGAAGCTTTATGTGGGGAGCAATGTTTTATTTCTCAGACCTTCCCTCCAGGCCTGAGCATATCTCATTTGTGGGAGGATAGCCTCACGTTGACCTTATTTTGTTCAACTTTTCTCAGAAGAGACCTTCCAATTTCCGATTTCAGGCAATCGCCGGAGATGTCGATGCTGCTGTAGCTCATCACGAGATGCTCTACATGGTGCATAAGAAAAACGGCCTCCTGCCAGAAGCCTTCACCACTGACTTGGACGTCTACTGGCCACATCACCTCATTCGACCCGAATTGGTGGAGTCCACATACCATCTCTACAAAAACACCCATGACCCCTACTACCTGGAAGTAGGCGCCGAACTACTGGAGAGTATCGAGAAGTATGCGCGTGTACCATGTGGTTTTGCAGCTATTGAAGTAAGAGTTATTTTGGGTATCTCATTCTCATTTAGTAAGTATTTCGGCAACGAAATGATCAAAATAAGGGAATGAATGGGTTTCAAAATGGCTTTTACTAAGTGGAGTGGAAGTTGAAATTTGTGTCTGTAAGAAAATCTGTATCTCACCAAATATCCAGTCACAACTATGGCTTAATATTCGTTTTGAGATAACATATAACTTAATCATACTAATTTATGGGCAACCAAATGTGAGGTAGAGGGGGGGGGGAGGGGGGGGCCGTTATCAACATGATAGTATATTTTAAATCTAAACACGGAAGAAGACCATGGCAGCAAATCTTTAAATGATTTGGCAACATTCTATTCCGCCCAGGCTTGACAATTAAAGATCGAAGTTTTGAATTTGGCTTATGGTTTCCTAACTCCTTGTTTTACAGCCCAGTTTCAATTTAATTGGCAACAGGAGGAAGGAGACACCAAGACGCTTCCTTCCAATTACAAGCTCAGATCGATATTTCTCACTCATTAACGTTCAGTGATCTGAAACGCACCATAAACCGCTACTTTTCGGCTTTAATACTATATCGGCCATATCTCGAAACGCCAGTCACCTTAAGAAGTGGTTACTTAACGCGACTGCCCTAACAGCAACAGTTACCATTTGATTGCAATCCGTGACACTGAAGTGTCTAATAAAAAAACTTAGATTTACCATGAAATCGAAATCACACACAAAACATGGCCATTCCCAATGACATGTATGGAGAACTGAGAGCCAGGCGAATTGGATTAGTAGGGCCATATCAAAGGAGCACATGGGCAGACTATTTTTCAGGTCAGCTTCGGTTGGTTCAGGGCGTAGTTAGAGGAGCGTGCAAGGGAATAATTATGTTGAACGCGTGTTATAACCAATGAGAAATGGAGAATTAAAATTAGTATAGATCCAATGAGATTAAAAGTTGAAGGTTCTCAATCTGCAATTTTTGGTTTACAGCCGTTTCTTGCTTCACTGTTATGTATTCTGTCGATGTGCTCTTTAAGAGTAAATAGTCTAAAGCAATCCTATTTAAAGTTAAAACGTTCTGGCCTAAAGGATTTAAAATTTGTAATCTCTCTATTCTCAATTTACTCCCACAGAAATAATCTAAGTTGACCTCTAGACGCTATTAGTGATAATGGAACGAAAGGGCGTGTGCTGATCTCCTTATTTACATAATGAACATGGATAGTGCTCAACATTTAGGATGGTTCGTACTGTTTACCACCGCTCATAAGCACCTTACTGTTTCCCGGCCTTTACACAATCCAACTTCTTTTTAATCAATAACTTAGTGGCCAGAATTTGCAAAATTTATTTTTCGATTTAGGGTCACCTATGCTTTCATAAAATCTCACTGGAAAATCTATCGGAACCAGAGGACTTTCATAACCTAACTTATTCCCTTTGTTCTTCCTTCTTCAAAAAGACACATTTGGGATTTGGGTCTTACTTGCTCTTATGATGGAAAATGGTATTGATTGTTATGATCCTAAAAATTATTGCCGATTCCTAGGATATACGAGTAATGAAGCATTCCGATCGTATGGATTCTTTCGTCCTGGCGGAGACTTTCAAGTACTTCTACCTCCTCTTCTCCGATCCCAAGGAGCTTCCAATTAATGTTGATGAATATGTATTCACCACGGAGGCTCACATTCTCCCCATTGGTCTTCCACGCACCAATCCTCCGGTTCTCAATCTAAACGCTAAATCTTCTGCCGATGAGCTTTCAATATCCTCCAACGGTTCGTGCCCTGCTGTGGATAAAAATGCCTCTCAAACAACTACTCTTCTACGCTTATTGATACCCCAGTTGCGATATTCTACCTGTTCCACTATCAAGCACTATGACCATCTAGAGGAGATCAGGCAACCATTGCGCAATAAGCTGAGAGCAATGAAGGAATTAAAAGTAGAAATGACAGATATGCCATCGGAACACATTGCGGTTCCTCTAACTGCTACCACTTTGAACATTAATGATGTGACGCATCTGCAAATGCTCCGACACATGGGTATTGCGGTTACGGTTGGTGCCAGTGGCGAAATTCAGCTGAAATTCAATCGAACAGAGGTAGGCGGGTCCTCTTACTCTCGGTTAAATCTAATATGGCTTTTAAATAACTTAATTGTGCTGTTTGAATTTTTGTGTTTTGGACGCCATTGACACATCTATCTGTCCCCCCCCCCTCTCCCCATCCCCTTCCCCCACCCAAAAAATTGTTCCTAAGATGTAAAACATTTGATTGACTACCTGGTTAACCAGGAATTCAGTAGTGAGCGAACTTCAATGTAAATAAGCCTTAAAGATCACTGATGAGACATTCAGTGTGCGAGTGTGTGTGTGTGTGTGTTTGTGTGTTCCAAGAATTTTGTAAAGCATTTTGACACTGTTCTTCTCGAAGGCTCTACACAAAAGACAACGCCAAATGAGGGGGGAGGAGGTGAGTGGTCGTGAGGGGGGGGGAACAAGAAGTTGATGAAGTCAGATGTCCATGGTCTTGCGTTATTTGCATCCTGTAAGCATGCATCCTCAGAAGAAAGTGTATATTGTGATGGTCTAATTTTCAATGTGCATCAATCTAATGCCTCGTACTTTTGTTTGGGGTTATCTTCGTAGCGTTTAGACCTAGCAGTTGACTGGCTGATTTTGTTTCGTTGGTTGCATCATTTTGGCGAATAATTGGAGGCGGAAAAATGTTTTTTTTTTTAGCATATCATGGCTCACTGCATATTACTTTTGAGGAAATGTTAGGTGGCCCCCCAAGTGGGGGGGGGGGGGGGGG